GAGCTCGTCGGTCGGGGTACCGGGGATGGGGGATCGAGTCGTAGGTGACTCAGCAACGGGGGAGTCCGGGACTGGGATGAACTCGTTCGCAAAGGTGTTCCAGTTGATCCGAGTAGGACGGTGATGACGGTTCGGGCAGGGGTTTTGCTCACACGGTTCCCAGTACCAGAGTCCGTCGTCTAGGTCCTTTCGTCGGTGGCAGTACTCTTGGTTGTCGGTGTCCCACGCGTGAAGTCTGCCGGTGCAGTCCAGGGTGGGGGAGACAATGTAGCGGCGGCGGGGACACTCTTGTTCAGAGCGTCAGCACCGGGGGAGAGATCTCGACCTAATGTCATGGCGACTAGGCGCGTAGACTCGGGTCGACGTTTGGCGACGACCCCGTAGGCGAGCGGCAAGGAGCCGAAAGGGAAGAGATAGAGAGGAGGAGAGGGATAAACGCAACAAGAAACTCGACGGGGCAGAGCAGAGGCCGGCACGAAGGCACAAGACCTACGAAGCTAGTCTTCACGCAGATAGCGACAGACTAGTCCCAATGACCAAGTTATACATTAGCAATCAAAGAGAGATACAACACTATGGTCACTCACCTAGTCCCAATGACCAAGAGGTCGAGATGGGGACTAGGGAGTGCCTAGGGGGGTCCTTATATACTAGAGGGGCTGCTTAGCAACCAAGGACAAGGCGCGAGAGCGAGACAGTGAAGATGACAAAGGGAGAACAAAGGGCGAGAAAGAAAAGGCAAGGGCATGGCGATCACAGGAACGTAGCATGCGGCTGTGGGAACGTATCTACAGTGTCCAAACTGGGATGAGCTAGGAAAGGAAACGGTCTGGAAATGGAAGGTGGGCATCAAAGGGAAGGGAATGGGCGGCAAAAAGGGGTGTCTGTCCAACGTCCGTGACAGATGACGCACAGCCTACAATTCTGCCAACCTGCCCTGAACTGTCGCTCCTCAAACCCTCTACCTCTTGACTACTGTACCCCTTCAAGACCATCTTCAACTGGCTCAACCGCGAGCACACACCCATGAAGCTCTCCACCCACCGCAAATTCGTGTTCACACTCTGGGGCGACATCTACCTCCGCTACAACTCCCTTGTCATCCCCAGTGAGAACCTACATGGGTTCAGTTGTTTTACATTGGCAAAATTCGTGTAAGAGTGGTTGAGGTCGGGAAGCCTCGATTCAGATTGGGCGGACCATTTTAGGCGCTCAATTTGTGTCTCCAATTGACCTTACAGTGACTGGATCGGACATGCATGTTCTTACGCCGGTGACGTCGACGTATCTCTCAAGCTTGTCTCTAACATGTCTCTAAGACCTATGTGATACATTACCTTGTGCTAATGCACTAGCACGCGTGCCCTTTAGGCGAGCCACCCTCATGTCATTGTTTGCCAAGCCCGCAGACTTTGACAATCCTCCAAACCAGATCTCGCTCCACTGTCCCCCCGTTATTGTTGTTGTGCTCACCACCCCCAATCATTCCACATTTTCCATTTGTCCCTGGACTCAAGGAGTAGAGCATGAGGGCAAGGGCGAGGAGCTCTGGACGCAACAGGGTGTTTGACGTGAGGAGGAGCCCTTCAGTACGCTTACCAACATCTGCACATTTGCATTGTCTTGTTCCCCCCCTTTTCCTCATTTTGATCACTCCTTAAGTTCTCAGTAAGTGTTATCCCACTCCCGTTTCGCATTCTTCACCTCTTCTTGACATTGATCTCTCCCTCCTCGATGAGAATATGATGTTATGCACTTTAGGCGCTGATGTTTGAATTCGCTCGATGTACATTCCGTCTCTTAATCCACCACGTCTACCATCTCTATCCCCTCGTTCGCAAGCTGTCTGCCTCTATGTCGCTTCCACAGGTACGTTTCCCTCGATACAGTCTCTCGACAAGCGTAGCAGACAACAGCGACAAAAACATGTGCGCCTCGCAAGACCTCGCAATGGCCTCCCCAGCTGATCTGCAAGGTGCCAAGCATGCACTACTCCCTCATTCACTCACTGACTTCCTTGAGTGCCTGATTCACATTTCTGTTGCAGGTGGATACATGCATGGAAATGGTGCATGGAGACCAGGGGAACGCAGGAAACCTTCGAGGCCCACTGTAAGTTTGTGAGTCATGCTGAGCACCAGGTGTGTTCGATCACATGTATCGACTTCCTTTACTCACCTTTTCGACAGATGCTCAGACGGGTCCCCTGCGTTGTAGACAGTATGTGTCTAGCACCACTATTGAGTCCCATTGCCGAATAGTACTGATCTGTTCGCAGTTTGAATCCTGACAGTGTTGACGACGGGCCCATTCAAGTGGTTGTTAGGAGGCTTAGACATCACACTCATCTGTTGATCTCCCTTGCAGGTGAGATTGACGCCACTGCATGCGCGCCCCATTGGCACCACAGGCTGGTCCTGACGTGATCCAACGGCATCTAGTCTTCTCCCCCTATATTCAATGATGCCTGAATGTAGCTGTATTCCACCGTGTAGCTTTACAACAACATACAATAGAATACAAACATGCGAAAATGTTCTGATACAAAGGGTCTCGACAGTAACCACGCCTAACCCAATGAAAACGGCCGCACCCGACCCAGCCCAACGGCGTTTGGTTGGTATCGGACGACCACCCGAGTTTATACAACGACATACAGCCAAAGTCGGGTGTACTGCCAAATTATGGGTTTGGTCGGGTTTTCCGACTTCATACATTACAAATCGACCTTATACAGCTGAGCCCATGTAAGTTCTCACTGGGTGTCATCCCCGACGGTCTCAAGAAGTAGGTAGCTCGTTTTCGACATCGACATGTCCGTCTACAACCTTGTCCGGACCAGCTGTGTCGCCGCCGACATCTGATGCGGCTGCTAGCAATCCACCGCCGCTGCCATCCGCGTCCTCTATAACCAACTTGGCCACACCCACCTTCTGTCTTGCTCTTTCCCTTTCTGTGACTTCATTTTTTGTACTTCTGCAGGGTGTGTCTATGGCGAGGACATTGAAGGTGGATTGCATACCCAGGGGCGTCTGCTTTTCTTGATGCTCAAAGATTCCCTCGGTAACTTGATGGTGAGTCTAGTGCTGCTTCTTGGCCTCAGCCGATGTGTAAGTCCCTCATGTTCCTCAGTGAGTCGCTTTGGCTTGGACATTGTTACTCACAAGCTCTAGCGCTACTAACCCTAACCCCGCCCGATTTCGCGAGTAGTAAGTGTTTTTATGGCCCCCTTCTTCCGTGTACATATAGTACTTAGTCCGTGCTCGATCATAATTGATTATTGTAAATACAAAATTGGATTATTTTAAGATTTGTCGACCAACGACCGTTTCGGAGCGCAAGCTTGGGCATCCATGGTAGAAGTTGCACCTAAGATTGACCATGTATGCTAATCGGCTGAGCCAATCGTGTACATCATTGGTCTTAGTTCCCCTACAGTATGGTAGCTGATGTCCAGATGCTCAGCGAGAAATGGTTATCAATGTCCAGGCGCCCTGCAAGGTCTGGCCATTGCACACCATATCTGGCGGATTTGGTACGGGTTTCCCATCCCTTGCTCATACCCTGTCAATCTGGTCAGACTGGCGAAACCTGGACGTCACTGACCATCTGTTTCGTTCATTTGCTGATGGAGAGGATGATGTCTGCCCGGGCGCTCTGGGCGACACCGTATCGGGTCAACATGTTATCAGGTGCCTATGTTTGCGACACTTCCCACGGTGCGAGTCCGCACACTTTGGCGCGAGTCGGTCCGATGCTGCTGGTCTCTTTTGTCTTTCTCGTCTTATTGCCCGACGGACGCGAGCCCGCAAGTACCGGCCGACTGGCCTTATATGGGGCAAGAGGAGCGTGCTATTCCAGCTCCCTTGACCTACCGCTACCGGCTGCTTCGCTTGACTGCCTCTATATCTTCGGCACTACCGCCTTCGTTCTACGTCACTCACACCGAACGATACATCGAAAGGTCACAGCGCCTTCGCGTGCATCCCGCCGAACGATTTCCTGTCTCGTGGCTTCTCCTTTGCTTGTTTGCTTCCAGATCCGCCTCAGTACTTGACTGCTTCAGGCGCAATACGTATCAGGCGCAATTTGTAGCACATCGGTTGATCAACAAGCTACTGGTACGCTCCCTGAACAGTTTACATATGTCCCTCCTATCCCCCTATGGTGCTCCTTTCGTCAGTATGACCAGACCCCGGAGTCAGGGCTATGGCGGCGACGCCTTTGGATACCACGCGGCTTTGGGCCCTCATGCTGGTATGTACTCTGTCTTCGCTCTATCCTTGTCGACGTGAACTGCACCTTGTGCCATGCTCCACCTAGCGGCCGTGCATTGCCTGATCACTGTGCTTGTGCCTCTCGTACCAACCCGCGGGACACAATCTCTGCCTTGTCTCCTGTACGTGTGGAGGTGATGTAGGAGAATACTCGATAAGGCCGTGGAGACTGATACCCGCTTCGTCCAGGATCACGAGTTTGCTGTCTTGACGAACACAGGGAGCGCTATGAGGGCGACGGGACCGTCCCATGGGACGCTACAGTCGTCCCAGTCCGGCTCCACGTTTGTACGACTTCTTGTCTTTGCTGTAGTACGTGGCGGGCGAATCAAGCTTTCCTTGTTCTTTCCTTGTTTCACTGCTGGTAAACCTGGCCTCAGTATGTACTACATGAACTCGCAATCGCGCGAGGGCAAGATCGCCTATATCGTCTGCAACCACCTACGAGCCCATGCGCGTCGCCTTCCTGCGACCCGTCCAGCAGGAGTTCTACCGTGTGGTGCAGCGTCGGATCGACCGCTTGTCGCGCGAGATGACTGCTATCGTGTTGATGGCGGCAACCTTGCACGTCTCTCAAGTACCGCGCGGCGTCACGGGTATACTTGATGGGCTCTAGCTATTCCGAGGGCAGCAGGGATGAGGTGTCCGACACGTACAAAGGGACAAACCCTCCGGACGCATGATGCGTTCACTACACCTCGAAGTTTGCCTGGGCGCAACGATCCATACGTAGTGCCTAGGTGATGTTGACCAGCGATTACCAGCACACGGAGCAAAGAGGCTGAAGATGTGCGATGCCATGGTCTTCCTAGAGACATCAGGGAGGGACCGTGGCGCATGCGCCCGGGCTCGTCGAAGGGTAACAAGCGAACCACTGGCGTGTTTGTCTTGCTGGGGCATTCACGGTTACGGTGTCGCATTTGCATGTACGGCTTGGGTTGGAATGATTTGAGTACTGCCTGTCCTCCCTACCAGTGTTTTTGCTAGGGGTGACTCGTTTTCACTATGTCATAGTTGCGAATGGCTGATGCCCTGCGCCCTGCGCCATGCATCTCGTCGTCAGTTGCCCATCATTTCTCACTCGCGATCGGCACAGCCTCTCCTGAGGGTCAATAGACATATAAGTAGGAAAGGAGATCCTTCTGTTGGCTGATTCAAAAGTGCTCCACGATCAGTAATGAAGCTCAAGTGTCTCCTCGTGCTTTGGTCGAACTATGCTTAGTTGAGCGACGACGTCCGACAATCCAATACATGGTGGGAGCGTAACTCATGCAGGGCTGAAAGCTCACAATCCCCAGTAGTCACAGGAATGTCGTATCTCGGGTCTGACGGGCGTGATCGAGAAGTCTATGCCGAATGCGCATTCTAGGCAGGAAAAACATCAAGTCCACGTCCTCAGTGTGAACTCGTGACAAACACAGTTGCGCCGCAACCACATGCAATGAAAGATCCAAGTCAAGAATCACGACCAAATGAGTCCGAGCAAACGCTAAACCCATTGTGTGCCCTTCGCTTTGGCCACCATCGCTCGAGACACCGTCAACAAGAAACATCCAAACAGGACCATAACCTGCAACAGCGTTCGGCAACTAATCTCGAGGACGACGGGTTTTGAAGTACGTACCGCATTGAATATGATTGCGTGACTCCACAGATATTCGGGCGCACGCAAGAGCGCACCCGATATTGGGTTTCCGGTGAGGAGGGCAAAGCTGAAAATGAAGCAGGCGAATCCGATGCGGATGCTAGAGAGGTCCGAGCGCGTGTCGTGAGTCACATATGGCTCTAGCAAAAGAGGGGGAAGACGGGATGCGTACCCCACCTCATCAACGCTCTTCGCAAATACAGTGAGCATTGGTGCCGCCATGGAAAGGACTGTTGAATGGATGTGAGCACGTATGTGAGCATGTATATGCGGCATATGGCGATAGTGTATTGGGACGTGGACATACAGCACCCGGAGAAGAACCCATACAGGATGGCGAACGCAACGATGCCGTGCTCCGTCTTCGCGCCAAACATGGCAAACATCAGGAGGCCAGCAATCGTGGTCATCGGGATGATCACTGTTCCGTATCTCGAACGTTAACATCTACATCCATCTGGGATCAATCTACAGCAGCGTAATTGCAAAGGCGTACCATTGAAGCGGCCATAGTAGTCGGCGAGGAAGTTGGGTATTGTTCGACCAAACAACGAAGCACCGTTGAGGATGGGGATCTAGCAAGTGTAAGCCTCTTGAGACAAATCAGGAAAATGGTTCGACGACGTACTATGTAGATCGTGAAGCTATGAGATACTCCATGCAAGGAACCGTAAAGCTGGAGATAGAAGACTGCGATGCGTGATTGCGCGGTGAGTTCAAACAATCGAACCTGCGATGAGACAGGGCATACACGGGAAGAAAAGACCCCAGAATGTAAAGAACGCCCTGCAAATGAAGACAACGGATGTCGTTATCTGCCTAATTAGAGGATAGCGGATGGATGTACCCAGCTACACAAATCATGTACGGAACATCGATAAGCAAGGGTTTGACTACAATTGGGGGAGCATCAGGTCTTTCTCTGCGGCTGGGGAGTCTTGTCTTCATGGAGAGGAAAGAAAGTGACAAGAGGAGCAGCGATATGAACCCATAGGCTCTAATGTTGTATATCAGTAAGCCGGTACACGTGAGGAGCAAACGACACAAATACCTCACTGCCCATCCAAAACCCGCTGAGCTGTTGATCAGGTGGTTGAGCATGATGGG